AGGAAAAAGATATTAAGGGCATTCAGGTAGGAAAGGAAGAAATCAAGCTCTCACTATTCGCAGATGATATGATACTCTACTTAGAGAACCCAATAACTTCCACCAAAAAACTCTTAGAAACAATAGACTCGTATAGTAAAGTTGCAGGTTATAAAATCAATACCCAAAAGTCCATGGCTTTCCAATATGCAAACAGTGAGAGAGAAGAAAGCAACATGAAAAAAACAATCCCATTCACAATTGTGCCCCAGAAAATCAAGTACCTAGGAATCAGCTTAACTAAGGAAGTAAAGGACCTGTACAAAGAAAACTACAAAACGCTACTTCAGGAAATAAAAGAGGACATGAGGAAATGGAAAGATATCCCCTGCTCATGGGTCGGGAGACTTAACATTGTCAAAATGGCAATACTACCGAAAGCATTGTATAAATTCAATGCAATCCCTATAAGGATACCCATGACATTCTTCAAAGAAATGGAGCAAACACTCTTGAAATTTATATGGAACAATAAGCCCCCACGAATAGCTAAAGCAATTCTTGGGAAAAAGAAAATGGGAGGAATCAACCTCCCGAACTTCAAACTGTACTACAAAGCAGTAATAATTAAAACAGCATGGTACTGGAACAAAGGCAGAACGGCAGACCAATGGAACAGGGTTGAATACACTGACATCTCTCCTCAATCATATGCTCATCTAATCTTTGATAAAGGTGCAAGTAATGTGAAGTGGAGTAAGGAAAGCCTCTTTAACAAATTGTGTTGGCATCACTGGACGGCTACATGCAAAAAAATAGGCTCAGAACTCTGCCTAACACCATGTACAAAAGTAAGATCAAAATGGATTAAAGACCTCAACATCAGACCAGAAACCATAAGGTACATTGAAGATAAAGTTGGCAAAACCCTCCATGACATTGAAGCTAATGGTATCTTCAAAGATGCCACGCCATTGGCCGAGCAAGTGAAAACAGAGATAGATAAATGGGACTATCTTAAACTAAGAAGCTTCTGCACCTCCAAAGAAACAGTGACCAAAATACAAAGACAGTCTACAGAATGGGAAAGGATATTCACCGAATACACATCTGACAAGGGGTTGATATCCAGGATATACAAAATACTGGTTAAACTCCACAAGAAGAAAACATCCAACCCCATCCAAAAATGGGGCAATGAAATGAACAGAAACTTTCTCAAAGAAGAAATCCGAATGGCAAAAAAGCACATGATAAAATGCTCTACATCATTAATCATCAGGGAGATGCAGATCAAAACCACAATGAGATACCATCTCACACCTCAGAGACTGGCCCACATTCAAAAGAACAAAAGCAACCTATGCTGGCGTGGATGTGGCGAGAAAGGGACACTCCTTCACTCTTGGTGGGAATGTCCACTGGTTCAGCCCTTCTGGAAAACAGTATGGACGATTCTCAAAAAATTAGAAATTGAGCTCCCATTTGACCCAGCAATACCACTCCTGGGAATATATCCCAGAGAGGCAAAAATGTATAGTCGAAGTGACATCTGCACTTGTTTGTTCATTGCAGCCCTCTTTACAATAGCCAGAAACTGGAAGAAACCTGAATGCCCAAGAACAGATGACTGGTTAAAGAAACTTTGGTACATCTACACAATGGAGTACTATGTAGCTCTTAGAAAAGATGAAGTCATGAAATTTACATACAAGTGGTACAATATGGAAAGTATCATGCTAAGCGAAATGAGTCAGAAAGAGAGGGATAGACATAGAAAGATTGCATTCATCTGGGGGATATAAAGTAACAAAGTATGAGATTAATACCCAAGAATAGCTGAGATCAGCACCAGGAGGATTACTCCATAACTTAGAGGCCAGCCGGGTATCCTAGAGGAAAGGGCAGTTCAGATAGAGAAGGGAGCACCAAATAAAGGATGTTTGGAGGATCCTCCCAGGAGGGGAGATGCATGTCGAAAGTAGACTATGGACTGAACATGTTTGCCACTCAATGCCTCTTTTGCAGACCACAACACACAAAAGGAGAGAGAGAACACAGGGGATTGCCCTGCCACAGAGACGGGGGGATGGGGGGATGGGGGTGGGAGGGATATTATCCATGGTGGTGGAAAATGGGCACTGGTGGAGGGATGGGTATCTGATCATTGTATAATTGAAACCAAAGCACAAAAAATTGTAAATCTACAACTTTAAAAAAAATAAAATAAAATAAAGGGGAAAAAAATAAACAAAAAAAAAATAAAAAATAAAAAGTAAGATCAAAATGGATTAGAGAACTCAACATCAGACCGGAATCCACAAGGTACATTGAAGACAAAGTGGACAAAACCCTCCATGACATTGAAGCTAATGGTATCTTCAAAGATGTCACACCACTGGCCAAGCAAGTGAAAACAGAGATAGACAAATGGGACTATCTTAAAATAAGAAGCTTCTGCACCTCAAAAGAAACAGTGACCAAAATACAAAGACAGACTACAGACTGGGAAAGGATATTTGCCGAATACACATCCGACAAGGGGTTGATACCAAGGATATACAAAGTGCTGGCTGAAATGCACAAGAAGAAAACATCCAACCCCATCAAAAATGGGGCGACTGGGACTGGAGAGATAGCACAGTGGGTAGGCCGTTTCCCTGCACGTAGCCTACCTGGGTTCGATTCCCAGCATCCCATATGGTCCCCTGAGCACCCCCAGGAGTAACTTCTGTGTGCAGAGCCAGGAGTAACCCCTGTGCATCAACAGGTGTGACCCAAAAAGTAGAAAAAAAAAGATCAAAAATGGGGCAACGAAATGAACAGAAAATTTCTCAGAGAAGAAATCCGAATGGCTAAAAGGCATATGAGAAAATGCTCTACATCATTAATCATCAGGGAGATACAGATCAAAACAACGAGATATCATTTCATACCACGCAGATGCCAGGGTAGCCCATAGCTTGCTCTGCATCCATCCATTCCCTTGTCAGGTACCCTGTTTTTGGGGTGGTAGGAACTCAGGGCAACTGAGGCATAAGTTGAGAAAACAGATGCCCAGGAGTGAATAATATTTGGAGTCAATGAATTCCCAAATTACAATTGTCTAGCACTAACTGTCTTCCTGTGTCTGTACAAGAAGGTCATTGCTCTGAAGTAAACTCTGCAAAAAGACATAAGGGAAAGAGAAATGCTTAGGGGAAAATGGTGATTAGCTGGTTGGGGAACAGAGCACAGAGAAGATTTTAAAGATAAACATAGAGGAATGGGAGTGTCTCAGGAGCACTGTGACTGGATGCATCCAATAAACCCAAGCTCCCTGTGGCGAGGGAGAAATGACAAACCAATATGATCCTACAATACCAATAGCAGACAGAGATAAAACAAAGAAAAAGAATTGCAGGCCGATATCCCTGATGAACACAGATGCAAAGATCCTCAACAAAATTCTAGCAAAAAGAATCCAACGACTCATCAAAAAGAATATACATCATGACTAAGTAGGATTCATCCTGGGGATGCAAGGATGGTTTAACATTCACAAGTCACTCAACATAATTCATCACATCAATAAAAGAAAAGAAAACAACCATATGATCAACCATAGAGGCAGAGAAAGCATTTGACAAGATGCAGCAACTGTTTACGATGAAAACGTAGAACCAATCTGCTAAGTACAAGTACTGGAAAGCCCCTCAGACTGTGGCCAAGAGGGTGGGCTGTGAAATGTCCCTTTTATATAACCTTATGGTCTTAAAGCCCCTCACTTTTGAGACTCAGGGCCACTCATTCAGAGACGATTGCCACTGTCTCAGTGAGCTGGACGAGGGCCTTACCTGTAACTAGCTGAGCTAGCTAAGAAAAACCATTTGCTTATTGCATCGCAATTTGTTTTCGTGTGATTCTTCTGGGGATATCTCAGTCCGGTTTAACACTTCAAGGGAATGACTGAAAGAGAGAGAACTTGTACCCTATTAAAATATATATCTGAATAATATTTCTTGTTGTATTCACCATTGACACTAACTTCAGTGGCATTTCGTATACTTGCTAGTTTTGCGATGATTACCATTATTTTGTTCATAACATTTTCATCATTGCTAAAAACAGCCTCTTCACTACCCACTGACATCTCCATTCTCTCCTTCCTTTATTTCCTGGCAACACTCTCCTTTTTTCTTTATGAATTTGCTTCCTCTGAACACTCCATATACATGAATTCTAAATTATGTGCTGTGTGTGAATGCCCTTGTCCAAACCTGATGCTTTCTAAGTTCATCTGTGCTATATTGCATCAGTACTTCTTATGAATAATATTCTATGGTATGGATCTACCATATTGGAGAGGTTGCCACACTTTCTAAATGCACAGAACACTGAACGTCTCATATGTAGGCTAAAGGAAATATTGACAGTGGTTGGAGACATAGTACAAAGAACAGGGTGCTTGCCTTGCATGCAGTAGGCCTGGCTGGCTCCCTGGCACCTCATATGGCTCCCTGAGCTCTGCCAGGAGGGATCCCTCAGCACAGAGCCAGGAGGAAGCTCTGAGCACCATCAGGTGTGGCTCCAACAAAAAAAAAATAAAATAAAAGCATTTACGAACACACATAAGATACAATCCTGTTCATGTATCTTTAGATGCTTTCCACATCATGGGGTAGACAGGATAATGGCCATTCAAAAAGATCATCAACCCTGCAAATGTTCCTTTGTTTAGTAAAATCTTCATACCACGCAGATGCCAGGGTAGCCCATAGCTTGCTCTGCATCCATCCAGTCCCTTGTCAGGTACCCTGATTTTGGGGTGGTAGGAACTCAGGGCAACTGAGGCATAAGTTGAGAAAACAGATGCCCAGGAGTGAATAATATTTGGAGTCAATGAATTCCCAAATTACGATTGTCTAGCACTAACTGTCTTCCTGTGTCTGTACAAGAAGGTCATTGCTCTGAAGTAAACTCTGCAAAAAGACATAAGGGAAAGAGAAATGCTTAGGGGAAAATGGTGATTAGCTGGTTGAATGGATTTGATGGCTGGCAATGGAGAGATTTGGTGCATTATCAGGTGAGTCGCTGGCATAACATTTCTTTTGACAAAATTGAGGCAGAAGATGATGATGCAGATAGAAGATAAGGTCACTTGACCATGGCGGCCAAGAAATGACCATATAGACACCAGACAGGCTACGTGGCAGTTTAACAAGTTAAAAGAAAACACAGGCTAAAGACCTTCTAGAGAAGCCATGTATCCTGGCTGAGACCTTTGTCCGGTGATATGTACATTCAATTTCTGGCTTCCAGGGGTGTGGGGTGTTTTTTCTTCTGATGTTTAAACTATCCGGTGATTTGTTAGAGCACTCACAAAAAGAAAAAAAAACGCACACACAACATTTCAATAACATAATAGCTTGTAAAAAAATAGTGCTCCATCAAAAAATATTTGAAAGCAGGATATATAAAATTCAAAAATCCCTTCCAATCTCAATCTTAAATAAACACAGTACTTGTTAATGGAACATGAGTTGCTGTTTGGCAGGTTGCAACAACTAGAACTTGGGACCTAAAACCTGGGACTTAAAACATGGCCAGCCTTACTTCATGCTGTATATTGATTTTGAAAGTATATTGGATTTTTATTATAATGGCTCCCCAAAATGCAGCTTTACAATGATGGAGAGCACTGAAGGGAATGTGAGATGATCTTATGTTGAAACTGGGATTTGATTAACTAGATACTCATACAGGATCTTAGAGATGTTGAGCTCTTATAGTGCACTTGCACTGAAAAAGGTTGACCCAAATTCAAAACTGGCATCCCATACGGTCCCCTGAGACTGGCAGGAGTGATCCCTGTGCACAGGGAGTAATCCCTGAGCACCACCAACTGTGGGTACCCCAAAGATTTGTAAATGTCCTACTAAATTTTTTTCTTTTTTTTAAAATTTTTATTTATTTATTTATTTATTTCGCTCTTTGCGTCACACCCAGCGGATGCTCAGGGGTTACTCCTGCCTCTGCACTCAGGAAGCACTCCTGGCGTTGCTTACGGGACCATATGGGATGCTGGGAATCGAACCTGGTTGGCTGCGTGCAAGGCAAACGCCCTACCCGCTGTGCTATTGCTCCAGCCCCTGTCCTTCTAAATTTTATGACTGGCTTTTGTGGCCTGGGGTTACCCCAATGTATCTTGTAACCAAAACCCTAACCGGCTTTTTTACTGTCTTTTTTGACTCTAAAATTGGGAAAAAAACAATAGCCAGAAACTGGAAGAAACCTGAATGCCCAAGAACAGATGACTCGTTAAGGAAACTTTGGTACATCTACACAATGGAGTACTATGTAGCTGTTAGAAAAGATGAAGTCATGAAATTTACATACAAGTGGTACAACATGGAAAGTATCATGCTAAGCGAAATGAGTCAGAAAGAGAGGGACAGACATAGAAATCCATCTGTATTGGGAACTTCACATTCTCTGCCGCTTCCCCTTCCCGTGGTGAGCAATGCAGCTTCCCTACCAGGAAGTGTCTGCAACTACTCCAGAGTATCTGCTCCAGCTGGTAGTTCTGCTTGGCTCCTGCCCTCAGCCTCTGGCACCTCATTCCAACCACCGATGGGAAGTGGCTATCTTTACCAACATTCTAGCACAATGATGCTGTCTGGAATGTCTGGCCAGAGCCACATATCCACTTCGGCTGCTTCCTACCCAAATGTTTTGGAATGGGATATTGCAGGAAGCGCTGTAAAGAAGACTTCCATGGGAGACTTTACAATGACTATCATTGACCAAGACACTGCTGTCTCTACCATGTCTATGGCAGCTCGCTATGAGAAAATCTTAGATACCGACAACGTAGTGTCTGGGTACCCATCACTTTCTGCCAGTCTTGTGGAGAGGACACTATCTCAGGTTCCAAATCAGAGTCATAGCCTGTCGCTTCCCTACCAGGAAGGAAGCCAGATGTATTACTATCATCAGGAGACTCAGGGACCTCTCCTTTCTGGACAACCTGGTTCATGCCTGCAATCTTATGGCTCCATGACATTCACAGGGGTTAGGGGCTCTGCCCTCCAAACTTACAGCAACTTATCCCCAGAAATGGTCATGGTTTTAAAAAAAGGTCCAGCCCCCAAAGAACCGACCACCAGCCTCCACCTCTGGAATCGACTACTCTGTGTCTGCTCAACCTATCACAGAATCGGGTTATCAAGGTGAGTAAAATGGAGGTCTGCCATTCAAATGTTGGTGTCAAATCTGCATGGGAAACTGTCTATAGAGAGGTGGCATTTGAGTTTAAGAAATTGAGATTTTTTACTTGTTAAACTCCACAAGAAGAAAACATCCAACCCCATCCAAAAATGGGGCAATGAAATGAACAGAAACTTTCTCAAAGAAGAAACCCGAATGGCAAAAAAGCACATGAGAAAATGCTCTACATCATTAATCATCAAGGAGATGCAGATCAAAACCACAATGAGATACCATCTCACACCTCAGAGACTGGCCCACATTCAAAAGAACAATAGCAACCGATGCTGGCATGGATGTGGTGAGAAAGGGACACTCCTTCACTCTTGGTGGGAATGTCCACTGGTTCAGCCCTTCTGGAAAACAATATGGACGATTCTCAAAAAATTAGAAATTGAGTTCCCATTTGACCCAGCAATACCACTCCTGGGAATATATCCCAGAGAGGCAAAAATGTATAGTCGAAGTGACATCTGCACTTGTTTGTTCATTGCAGCACTCTTTACAATAGCCAGAAACTGGAAGAAACCTGAATGCCCACGAACAGATGACTGGTTAAAGAAACTTTGGTACATCTACACAATGGAGTACTATGTAGCTGTTAGAAAAGATGAAGTCATGAAATTTACATACAAGTGGTACAATATGGAAAGTATCATGCTAAGCGAAATGAGTCAGAAAGAGAGGAATAGACATAGAAAGATTGCATTCATCTGGGGGATATAAAGTAACAAAGTATAAGATTAATACCCAAGAATAGCTGAGATCAGCACCAGGACGATTACTCCATAACTTAGAGGCCAGCGGGTATCCTAGAGGAAAGGGCAGTTCAGATAGAGAAGGGAGCACTAAATAAAGGGTGTTTGGAGGATCCTCCCAGGAGGTGAGATTCATGTCGAAAGTAGACTATGGACTGAACATGTTTGCCACTCAATGCCTCTTTTGCAGACCACAACACCCAAAAGGAGAGAGAGAACACAGGGGATTGCCCTGCCACAGAGACAGGGGGGATGGGGGGATGGGGGTGGGAGGGATATTATCCATGGTGGTGTAAAATGGGCACTGGTGGAGGGATGGGTATCTGATCATTGTATAATTGAAACCAAAGCACAAAAAATTGTAAATCTACAACTGTAAAAAACAATAAAATAAAATAAAGGGGAAAAAAAAGAAAAAAAAAGAAATTGAGATTTTTTACTTGTTAAACTCCACAAGAAGAAAACATCCAACCCCATCCAAAAATGGGGCAATGAAATGAACAGAAACTTTCTCAAAGAAGAAATCCGAATGGCAAAAAAGCACATGAGAAAATGCTCTACATCATTAATCATCAAGGAGATGCAGATCAAAACCACAATGAGATACCATCTCACACCTCAGAGACTGGCCCACATTCAAAAGAACAAAAGCAACCGATGCTGGCATGGATGTGGCGAGAAAGGGACACTCCTTCACTCTTGGTGGGAATGTCCACTGGTTCAGCCCTTCTGGAAAACAGTATGGACGATTCTCAAAAAATTAGAAATTGAGTTCCCATTTGACCCAGCAATACCACTCCTGGGAATATATCCCAGAGAGGCAAAAATGTATAGTCGAAGTGACATCTGCACTTGTTTGTTCATTGCAGCACTCTTTACAATAGCCAGAAACTGGAAGAAACCTGAATGCCCACGAACAGATGACTGGTTAAAGAAACTTTGGTACATCTACACAATGGAGTACTATGTAGCTGTTAGAAAAGATGAAGTCATGAAATTTACATACAAGTGGTACAATATGGAAAGTATCATGCTAAGCGAAATGAGTCAGAAAGAGAGGGATAGACATAGAAAGATTGCATTCATCTGGGGGATATAAAGTAACAAAGTATGAGATTAATACCCAAGAATAGCTGAGATCAGCACCAGGAGGATTACTCCATAACTTAGAGGCCAGCCGGGTATCCTAGAGGAAAGGGCAGTTCAGATAGAGAAGGGAGCACCAAATAAAGGATGTTTGGAGGATCCTCCCAGGAGGGGAGATGCATGTCGAAAGTAGACTATGGACTGAACATGTTTGCCACTCAATGCCTCTTTTGCAGACCACAACACACAAAAGGAGAGAGAAAACACAGGGGATTGCCCTGCCACAGAGCCGGGAGGGTATGGGGGGATGGGGGTGGGGGGATATTATCCATGGTGGTGGAAAATGGGCACTGGTGGAGGGATGGGTATCTGATCATTGTATAATCGAAACCCAAGCACAAAAAATTGTAAATCTACAACTGTAAAATAAATAAATAAATAAAAACATTCAGCATTGCACATGTCTTTCAGTAGCAGGATTCAAATATTTGAGAGTAACCCACCACCAGAGCTTAGGGATGTTCCCATAATATCGCCAGCCCATAGTAATCTGCCTCTGCTTCCAGCTTAAACTGAGGAACAAAGAGATGAGAATTTGGATGAGATGAAAATTAACTTTCAAAGTCTCTGGAGACCTACCAGATCCCAATAGAAAACCAAGATCCTCCACTGTGCCCTTTAGAAATCGCTGATATCCACCAGCTCCTGGCCTGCATTGATCCCATCAGCCAAGAGCAACAGCCTGGTACTGAAACTACTGGTGAGGGAAAGAATGGTCTACGTTTGGAGGACCCAGGGCCACTTGAAATGGGGATTGAATCTGGCAGTAGTTTTGTAGACATCGCGACAGTCGTGGAAGAAATACATCTTCCCAAACTCTTTGATTGCTCAAAATACCTAGACCAATGCAAATATCTGCAGGTAATGAACACCACATACACCATCACTCTGAATCAGGTGCAAGAAAATGCAAGTGGCACTAAGGGTAACTCCCATCCAACCCAGAAGAACAAAGGTGAGGCCTCGGAGCCTCTTGAGGGAAAACTCAAGGCCAAAATCCAGCTAAAAGACCCAGAATCCTTGGTACGGGGAGCAGTGATTATTTGTAATGCTGCAGTCAGTGAGAGGTGTCCAGTGACCATGGCAAAACATAACAGCAAACCTCAGAAAGCTGCATCAAGCAGGATCAGTGAGACAAAGAACCATGGGCAGGAGAAGAAAAAAAGGGCCAGAGAAAACTCTAAGAATGCTGAGGAGAGGAAGCCAACAGGGAACAAGGTCTAGGCAGAAGAGAAGCCCACCATTGCCAAGATGAAACGCAAAAAAAGTCAACCTGAGCTTTGCCACGAGGCCTTTCAAAAGCCCCAAAGCTGCCTAGGCATGCACATGCTGGAGTCTGTGCAAGTGTTTCACGCTCTTGGGAAGAAGAGTGATCCAAAGCCTGGATTCCCTTTCTCCTGGATCTTGAGTAGCTCAAAGAATCCCACCGATTTCCAGCCATCCTCAGCTGTCAAACCTTGGCCAGGTGCTACACAGAATGGAAAAGACCGTGAGAAAACTCAGGTCCAAGTGCAGAAACCAAGAAACAATCCTGAAGAATGTTCGTCTCCATCCCTGTATGACCTGCCACCTCCTGGGAAGGTCAAATTGGTACCTCTGCCTTTTCCAACCATAGAGAAGCCACAAGCTTGGCCTGTTCCTCGAAGACCACAGTCTGTGCCCTCATTTCGTCCTGCTGCAGCTTACCCTGCCAGGCCTGGCTCTACCAACTCAGATCCGCCAACTGCCACTAATTCTTCCCTGCCAACCACTGCATCTTTGCCTGGTCTTGCCAAACAAGCTCAGCCCATTTCTATCAATCCATCTCGTCCAGGTTTGTTGAACCATACTACCTGACCTATTCCTCATCCTGGACCTTCTAGGCCTGTTCTCTACAAGACAATAGCTAGCACTTCTTTCCAGCAGGAGCCCCTTCACTCTCTGTGAACAAGCGCCAGTCTCCACCCAAATGTCAGAATCAGTTTCTCCTCCAAGACTTCGTTTCCAACTGATTCCAAGGAGAATGCCCAATGTTCCCGAGCCAGTAATGTCAAGGCCCATCACAAGAGAGCAGAGACCAGAGCATGTGGCTGAGAAAAGGAAGGCTCAGCAGGAGCGTGAGAACGCTGCCAAATACACCTCTTTAGAGAAAGTGCAGTTTTATATCGAGAGAGAAACAGAGATGGACATCTCTCTATATCATGGCTATGTGATGTGAGTAGCTGGAATGGTTGATGCCAATTTAGGTAATAGATGGTTGCCCTCGACAAACACTTGAAATGCCATACACATTTTATGTATTCTGATATATTTTTCACAAATTGAAGAGATGCATTATAGTTCATTGGTTTGTAAATAAAGTTCTGAATTTTGAGAAGCTGTCAACTGTGGTTGTTATTTGGAGGGGCTGGGGATTGAAGGACGGCATGAGAAAGAATGGTAAGTTAGAGAGAGAATGAAGGGGAAACAGGTAAGACTCTGAGAAAGAGAAACTTGGTCCAGGGTTATAAAGTCCAGTAAGAGGAGAAATTTCTTGGGTCTGATGAAGAGTGGGGGAGGGTCAGAGCAATAGTATAGCTGCTAAGGCATTTGCCCTGCAAGAACCCACGTTCAATTCTTGCAATCCTATATGGTCCCCAGAGTCCCACCAGATTTGAAACTTGAGTGCACATATGCTTCCACTCTCGGTCTCCTCCAAAGAAGAATGGGAGAAAAGCAAGGTCTGGGGGTTGGGTTAAAAGAATAAATTTGGCATAGGCTGAGGAAGCCAGAGAAGTCTAAGATGACCAGAAGAAATCTAAAAGTTCTCTCATGGAGGCTGTTTTTATGTCTTATGGCCACCTTCGGAAAATAAAGAAATTTGAGACACATCTCCAAAAGGTTTGGGTGGCCTATCCATAAATGATACCTGGGAGATGCAAACACATATACTGGGGAATGAACTTACCCGATGAGTGATCAACGCCCTCTTAACAGGGACCAAGCCAAGAGAAAAGTTGTAGCATGAAGCCCGAAGATCAGCTCCTGGGAAATGTAAAGATAAATCACAGTGTACTCAGGCCCACTGTTCAGCACCCCTAGATGCACCATTTCACTTATTCCCAACAATATTCAGAGTCTGTATCACGGTGACACCCTGCTAGCGAGTTTCAACATTGAGGTCCATTGCCTATGTAAGTTCTTTTACCTTGCCATCTCCCCAAGGTGGCCAAGCCGGCTTTCAGGCTATGACATACGGACATTCCTGGCAGGAGCAGCTACAATTATATTAGCTTGAGAGGCTGCTCTGTGGTCTTCCACGGTCCCTGGTGCCTGTAGCCTGCTCGAAACATCACTGTTAACTGAAGCTCACACAAGAACCATCGTTATAAATGGCGTTGCGGCTGGGTCGTGGGCAGTACCGGACTAGGACATGCGCACTAGGTTACCACTCCAAAGCGGTTGGTACCGGTTCTCCCTGAGCCTGGAAGGTGGTGGAGGGAAGAGATGGTCCTAGGAGAGTTATGGGTGATGGATGGGAAGGAAACCGGGAAGGGTAGGCAACCGGACAGCTGGTGATCATCATGGGATAGTTGGTGGATGTTTTTAAATACATTAAAACGATTTTCGTAGATGAGAGGCAAAACAAAAATACGAAAATAAAATAGGTTCCAAATAACAGGTTCCATAGAAGACCGAGAGAGCTGAAAGGACTGACATTCCTTCTGGAGCTTTTAGCTGGAACTGAGCAGGCAGCCTCGTCCCTCTCAGCTCCACGTGGTTTGATCCCAAAACAATCCCAAAAGTTATACATGCAAAGACCTAAGAAACCGAAAACAAGCTGCAGAACATTGAGAGTAGTGACATCATTTTTCATTTGCTGGGCGGTGGGAAGGTGTTTGAAGTCAAGTGTTCTAAGTATTTCTTAAAGGGGAAAATAGTAACAGCACTTTAGCCAGCATAGGGATTAGGGGCCCAATACGGGAGTGTAGTAATGACCTCATCTACCTACAAAGAACAAGGTAAGTTATACTATGTTTGTCATTTAGTATTTACAAAGAAAAAACTTGGTCACAGCCTGACAGATATCCCCAATTTTCCTACTAGCTTGTAGGAAATGAGTGAAGAGAGAGAACTTGGACATTTTTCAAACATTCATCTGCATAAAGATTTTTTGATTGGATCCACCATTTGAGACTAACCTCAGTGGCATTTGGTATACTTGCTAGTTTTGCAACTATTACCATTATTTTATCCATACGATTTTCATCATTGCCAAAAAAAAGACTCTTGACTATAGCAGGCAACATTCATCTTTTTATTTTTATGAATTTGCTTTCTCTGAACAATTCATATACAAGTATCCTAAATTATGTGACCTCTGACACTTCCTTTGTCCAAACTTGATGCTGTAGTGTGTGCTATAGTGTGTTAGTACTTCATATGACTAATATTCTGTTGTATGGATCTACCATATTGGAGAGGTTTTCACACTCCCTGAATGCACAGAACCCTGGATGTCTCATACATAGGCTAAAAGAAAGATTGACTGTGGATGGAGTCATAGTACACAGGGTAGAATGCTGCCTTGAATGCAATAGACCTGGATTGGCTCCCTGGCACCCCATTTGGTCCCCCGAGCCCTGCCAGGAGTGATCCATGAGCGCAAAGCCAAGAGGAAGCTCAGAGCACCATCAGGTGTGGCTCCAACACAAAAATTAAAAGCATTCATGCTCACACACAAATACATTCCAGCCGAAGACCTCCAGGACCGCCACCACCATGCTGAGACCACTCTCCGCACACCTGAAGGTACCGGCAGAGGGACAAAGCCACGTGGATTCCGGGGCCGAGATCTCCAAGCCTACTCGGATTGGAGTCGAGCATCCTCCACCCAGATCCTCCAAATTCCTGTAGGCGGGGGTCACACCCACCAACTGGACCCCTGGCACCGTGTAATCCCATCAGCGGCCAAGACTCAGAGACTATAAAAACAAGCTCCCGGAACCGCACGGCTGCATTTGCCCCCGCGCGACATCTTATTATGACATCTCATTCCTACTTTGACAAACTGGCATGCTACCGAATGTAGCCTGCCCACACGACAGAGTCTGGCAAACTCCCCGTGGCGTACGAAATATGCCAAACACCAGTAACAATGATGGGTCTCATGCTCCTAAAGAGCTTTGAATATAATCTCAGGGCTAGGATGAAGGAGACATTACTGGGGCCTTATCGAGGCAATCGACGAATAACAGGATGATCTGTGATCTGTGATCTGTGAACAACATCATGTTGTAGACTAGATAATGGCCATTCAAAGAGATCATCAATGCTGCAAATGTTCCTTTGTTTAGTAAAAACTTGATTGACTGGATGCGATGGCTGGCGATGGAGAGATTTGGTGCGTAATCAGGTGAGTCAATGGCATAAAATGGAGGCAGAAGTAGATGATGCAGATATAAGAGAAAGGCACTTGACCATGGCAGTCAAGAAGTGAGTGTATTATACACCCGACAAGCCAAGTGGCAGTTTACGGAAGTTAAAAGAAAATACAGCCTAAAGACCTACAGAAGCCATGTGTCCTGGCTGACACCAGTGTCCCAATGATGTGTATATTCCAAATTTCTGGATTTCAGGAGTGTGGATTTTTTTCTTCTGATGTTTAAGTTACCAGGTGATTGTTAGGACGCTCACAGAAAAAGAAAAAAATCACAATATTTCAATCACATAATAGCTTGTTAAAAAAAATACAGTTTTCTAGTAACAAATATTTGAATCCAGCACATATAAAATTTTTAAGTGGTAGGGTGTTTGCCTTACAAACGGCCAACACGGCTGACCCGAGTTAGATTCCTCCACCCCTCTCCGAGAGCCTGGCAAGCTACCAAGAGTATCTCGCCCGCACGGCAGAGCCTGGCAAGCTACCCGTGATGTATTCGATATGCCAAACACGGTAACAACAAATCTCATGATGGAGATGTTACTGAGCCAGCTCAAGCAAATCGATGAACAATGGGAGGACCGTTCCTATTTCATTTTTAAATAAAAGAGTACTTGTTAATGGAACCTGTGTTGCTGTTAAGCAGGTAGCAACATCTAGAACCTCGGACTTAAAGTAGACACAGCCAGCCTTGTTTACCGATACACATTGATGTTCAAACAATTCTGGCTGTTTATTATAATGATTCCCAAAATGCAGCTTTATGATGGTCGAGAGCACGGAAGGG